ACACAAGCTCTGTTATAAAGATGAGAGGGATCGGATCATTTCTTCTGGTACCTCCCTCACAAAGGGTCAACATTTTTAATAACCAAAACGATCATAAAATCCGCAATAAGCATCCGGTTCTCTTCATAATTCACACATCCCATTATTTCTACTAACGCAAGATCTAATGTGAAGATGGTATATATCGGTCCATTCCCTCTGGTACCTACCCCACAAAGGGTCAAAATTTTGAATATCAATGGCGCTCATAAAACACGAACTTAATATCCGATTCCATTTAGACTTTGTACATCTCAATAATTCCATCAACACAAGCTCTCTTATAAAAATGGAACTAATCGGACCATATCTTCTGGTACCTTCCACACAATGGGTCAAAGTTTTGAATAAACGATCATAAAATCCGAAATAAGCATCCAGTTCTCTTCATAATGCAATGCATACAAACATTTTTGCTAACAAAAGATCTGTTGAGAAGATGATATATATTTGCGAACCCCTTCTGGTACCTCACCTACAAAGGGTCGCAATTCTCCGAAAACTGAGGCCGATTTTTTTCTTTGAAAAAAAAAATCCTAAGAAACTTGAGGCTGTTTTCTATAGGGAAAACTACTCAGGAAACTGAGGTATATTTTTTTTGTCTATAAAGAACAAATCCTCAGAAAACTGAGGCCGTTTTTTCTGTAGAGAAAAAAAATCCTCAGAAAACTGAGGCCGTTTTTTTCTGTAGAGAAAAAAAATCCTCAGAGAAAACTGAGGCTGATTTTTTTTTCCTCAGAAAACTGAAGTCGATTTTTTTTCTATGGAGAAAAAATCCTCAGGAAACTGAGGTCGATTTTTTTCTATAGGGAAAAAATCCTCAGAAAACTGAGGTCGATTTTTTTCTATAGAGAAAAAATCCTCAGAAAACTGAGGTCGATTTTTTTCTATAGAGAAAAAATCCTCAGAAGACTGAGGTCGATTTTTTTCTATAGAGAAAAAATCCTCAGAGAAAACTGAGGTCGATTTTTTTCTATAGAGAAAAAATCCTCAGAGAAAACTGAGGTCGATTTTTTTCTATAGAGAAAAAATCCTCAGAGAAAACTGAGGTCGATTTTTTTCTATAGAGAAAAAATCCTCAGAAAACTGAGGTCGATTTTTTTCTATAGAGAAAAAATCCTCAGAAAACTGAGGGCGATTTTTTTCTATAGAGAAAAAATCCTCAGAAAACTGAGGGCGATTTTTTTCTATAGAGAAAAAATCCTCAGAGAAAACTGAGGCTGATTTTTTTCTATAGAGAAAAAATCCTCAGTGAAAACTGAGGCTGATTTTTTTCTATAGAGAAAAAATCCTCAGAGAAAACTGAAGCTGATTTTTTTTCTATAGAAAAAAAATACTTGGACAGCCGAGGCTAATTTTTTTTCTATAGAGAAAAAATCCTCAGAAAACTGAGGTCGATTTTTTTCTATAGAGAAAAAATCCTCAGAAAACTGAGGTCGATTTTTTTCTATAGAGAAAAAATCCTCAGAAAACTGAGGGCGATTTTTTTCTATAGAGAAAAAATACTCAGAAAACTGAGGGCGATTTTTTTCTATAGAGAAAAAATCCTCAGAGAAAACTGAGGCTGATTTTTTTCTATAGAGAAAAAATCCTCAGAGAAAACTGAGGCTGATTTTTTTCTATAGAGAAAAAATCCTCAGAGAAAACTGAGGCTGATTTTTTTCTATAGAAAAAAAAATACTTGGACAGCCGAGGCTAATTTTTTTTTCTATAGAGAAAACCACTTAGGAAACTGAGGTAGAATTTTTTCTATAGAAAAAAATCCTTAGACAACAGAGGCTGATTTTTTTCTATAGAGAAAGAATACTTGGGGAACTGAGGCTATTTTATTCTATAGAGAAAAATCCTCAGGAAACACAGGCTGATTTTTTAGAGAAAAATTATTTTTATTTAGTTCCGATACGAAATGGTCATATTGGTCCATTCTTTCGGAACCTATGCCATATAGGGTTAGCAATTTGAATAATCATAACAGAAGTCAAAATATATTTAAATAATCGAACATTGGCAGAGGGTATACATCTGTCGTAAAAACCGCCTGATTCTTTTTGACTTATTTATATAAAATTATATCATATTTAGCTCACAAAAACTCATCCTACTCACCTTGGCCGCGGCGAAACCATCTGGATTGCAACTGGGCAATAAATGTATTTCCGTTGTATTCAATAGCTGTTGAATTTCCCCGACATTTTCATAATTTTTCACAAGATATTGAGCCAAATATACGATCATTTGACGACCCAACGTCTCGTCGCCATGGATGTTGGCGGTTACTTTTACTACGGGACGCAACAAATCACCCGCACTGGCATCTTCACCCGGTGCCGACAGAGCCAAAACATTTAGATCGCGTTTTTGCAAGGATTTACCGATTGAATACGCACGCGCCAAATGGGGATATTCTTCCTGTAGGCGAGCGAACAACGAACGAATTTCTCCGTTATTTAGATATTTGGGCGCCACCAGGAAATCTTCATTTTCTTGCGACGACGCAGACGCATCACCATAGACACCACGACTTAGAACACAACATAACAGTAGCGAAACGAAGAACATGAATTTACGACACGACCACTGTGAGTCACGACGACTACTTGTTGGATAACGTCGAACGCCATTGCTTCTAGAACGCAGCAGTGTCGCACCTGCGCACATTTTTTCTCTTTTTTTCATTCACAAATCACTTGGGTGGCTTAAAATTTTTCCACCGGGCCACACAAAAAATTGGATTTAAATTTCTTTTCTTTGGCGACACTTTGTATTTTTTTTTTTTTTTGCTACTTTGTGCAAAACATGTAGCCCCTGTAATCTTTTTTCCAATACTTTTTTTTACTTGGATTTTTAACACCTCTTATTATATTTCTTTTTATTATTTGCTGACGTTGAGAGGTCGATTTCTCCCTCTCTCTTTGTATGACTGATGCACTTGGAATTCTTTGTTGTTGCTGCTGCTGTTGCCTTTGTCACGACACTGCTTCTTTTTGTAACACACAATATAATTTTCTTTATTTTTTATATTTATTATTTAATTTTCTTATTAATTAAAACATAATATAAACAAAAAGAAACGAAAACAAGACACCGAGACGAGACGAGTAAAGTAAGCGAACGAAACAAAAACCGGACGTGAATTTGTTGTGTTTATGGTCTTGTCAAACACAACTAGGGATGGCACATCGAACTATGCAGTCAACATCGATGGTGGCGATAGTTTGTTATTTGGCAGCAATATCGATTGATGAGTCAATGCAGTGTTGCCAGATGAAATTTTAGACTCATATATGATTAGTTGAGAGATGCCTGTAATTAATGGGGATTTTTTACAACAAACCGAAAAAAGAATGGGTATTTTGAAGGGAAGTCTTAAAATATGATTTAAATACGACATTTCAAAGGAACGGAAGGCAATTTAATACAAACTACAGACAATCATGGTACAATCAATGAAGTGAAGTAATATAAACATATGTTTACAATTTTTTTTAAAATTATTAATTTGACAACATATCTTTGTCAAAATTTGTATTTATAAATCCATTGTACATATACAAATCAGAGATGGGAACTTCTTTTTATGTAGTGAAATGTGACAATGTAAATTACAGAAAATGCAGAGATGGGAATGCTTTTTTGAAATGGCTTTAACTTCTTAATTTTACCATACAGAGAATAGGGTGTGGATATTTTAGGGAAAGGTTCTAGAGAAAAATAAACTGGATATTCTAGATAAATTTTTGGGAAACGATCGTGGAAATTTTAATGAACGATTTAAAAGAAATTTCTGATCGAAGAATGTATACATTTTGAGAACTTCGAGAAACATTTAATCATGGTACAATAAAAAGGTAAAGTAGAGCTCCCAGCTGATTAAATTTTTTTCTAAGTGTGCCCGACTTCTGCCTATTTTTTGGTATGTATTTGTTGTTGTAAAAAATAAAAACAAAATGTTTTGAAAATCAATGATTCAATATTGCATTCGGCAAATATTGAAAAATGAGCTCGGGGAAAAGGCATTGAAATTCCAAAAAGTGCAAGAACTTACACCGCAGCAGAATGAAAATAGACTCAAAAGAGTTGCTTCGCTTGGGCGAAAGTGGTGAACTGCCGAATTTGGTTTTCTCTGATATGAAAACATTCGTTGTCCAGCAGTTTGTAAACAAACAAAATGATCGTGTTTACTTGCCAAAGAGGTTAGCTGAAAATGTGCACTTTCGGTTGGCCACCAGAACTCAGGCGCCGCCCATCGTCATTGTGGGGGTCGCCATAACAGCGGATGGTCGCTCTCTGCTCGTATTAATCGTCCGTGGCATCAGAATAAATGTCGAATATTATCGCGAAAATATTCTGGAGGGTGTATTAAAGCCTTGGGCCGCAAATTTTTTGACCGTAGACTTTGGACATTCCAACAGGACTCAGCACCATCGCACTCAGCTAGCGCCACCCAAGAATGGTTACAAACTAAGATTCCTCGCTTCATTTCCAGCGCACCTTCCAGGCCACCAAATCTCCGGATACCAATCCGTTGGGCTATTGTGTCTGGAGCATGGCAGAAGAATACAAGTAGATGCATCAACGCTTGGGAGCATTGATATGTCAAAAAAATTGTGCCGATGTGCCGATGCGTCTACCTATATGCTTCTACCATGGTCTGGAGTATTTTGGAAAGCAAGGTTGGCACTAAAAAAATACCAAAGTTTCGATCACCTCAACCAAGCGCTTCGCCGGGAATAGACCAAAATACCGCAGAGCAACATTCGGGCAGCGTGTGACGATTTCATTGGCCGTTGGAAGGCCATAATCTGGCAGTCCTAGCAGCTGTCTCGATGCGTCTACCTATATTCTTCTACCATGAACTCTATTTTCTCTGTTGCCTTTTTAGGGACATGGAAATCGATAAGTGACCACAGTAGGGTTATACAAATCAATGTTTCATTGCTGCTTTTAACTATTGTGAATTAAATATTGAAATCTGCCCTGACACTCTCTCACGTAAGGCGAAAAAATCAACACGAAGAAAGAAAAATTTGGAAAATTTTCAATTCAACAGCTTCAAAAGTCTTCAGAGTTGTGGAAAAACGTATCCTCTTAAATGTGTGTGGATAAAAATTATCAAAATATAAAAGCTCCCTTCAAGGGCCCAGGAAAATAAGCAAATAATCAACATCCTCCATCCAATCGACCAAAGGCACACCAACAACAACAACATCGGCAGACAAGAAAAAGATTGAGTAATTTTTTTAGCAAAGAAAACAACAGACGGACAAGCAGGTAGTTCACACACACACACACACGTATACCACTACTACTACTACGTTGTTGTCGTCTCGTTAAAGTCTAGACGATCACCACTTACCTAGAACAAGGAAGCTAGGAAAGAAGAACTCACAAAGGCGTACATTAACCTTGAAACAATGCCCAACTCAAGAGCCTCGGCCGCGGCCGAAGTGGTCCACACTGGATCCGGACCCCAGCCATTGGTGAAAATTGGCCACTATCTGCTGGGTGCTACTTTGGGCACGGGCACCTTTGGTAAGGTCAAAATTGGCGAACATCAAATGACCAAACATAAGGTGGCGGTGAAGATTCTGAACAGGCAAAAAATCAAATCCCTCGATGTGGTGGGCAAGATTAGACGTGAAATTCAAAATCTAAAACTCTTCCGACATCCCCACATTATCAAGTTGTATCAGGTGATATCCACACCCACGGATATTTTCATGATCATGGAATATGTCAGTGGTGGCGAGCTCTTCGATTACATTGTCAAGCATGGCAAGCTGCAGGAACACGAGGCCAGGCGTTTCTTCCAGCAAATTATTTCCGGTGTGGACTATTGCCATCGCCATATGATTGTCCATCGTGACTTGAAACCGGAAAATCTGCTGTTGGACCACAATCGCCATGTGAAAATTGCCGATTTCGGTTTGTCCAACATGATGTTGGATGGTGAGTTCCTGAGGACATCATGTGGCTCCCCGAATTATGCTGCTCCTGAAGTTATCTCGGGCAAGTTGTATGCCGGTCCTGAGGTAGACATCTGGTCATGTGGTGTAATTTTATATGCCCTGCTGTGTGGCACCTTGCCTTTTGACGATGAACATGTTCCAACCTTGTTCCGGAAAATCAAATCTGGCATTTTCCCCATACCGGAATATTTGAATAAGCAGGTGGTGAATTTGGTGTGTCAAATGTTACAGGTGGATCCGCTGAAGCGAGCCAACATCGAGGAGATTAAAAAACATGAATGGTTCCAAAAGGATTTGCCATCCTATCTCTTTCCCTCTTCGATTGAACAGGATTCCAATGTCATTGATACCTATGCAGTGTCGGAGGTATGTTCGAAATTCGGTGTCAAGGAACAGGAGGTGCACAATGCTCTGCTGAGTGGTGATCCCCATGACCAATTGGCCATTGCCTATCATTTGATAATTGACAACAAGCGTTTTGCTGATGAGGCTGCCAAGACGGAAATAAATAATTTCTTTGTTGCCGGCTCACCACCGCCGGCGGCCCACTCACCAAATGAGCCGCAAGATCCTAATTTTGGTGGTGGATCTTCATCGGGTACCTCCACGCCGGGTAGAACGTCCTTGACACCATCCATGAAACCCCATCCGGAACGTATAGCGCCCCTGCGCGAACGGCAACTGGCCATGGCAGTACAGGCCCAGGGAGGTGGAGCCTTCCCCGAGAAGGCTGCCCGCGGTACACCCATTAAACGGGCCAAATGGCATTTGGGTATACGTTCGCAGAGTAAACCCAACGATATTATGTTGGAGGTTTATCGTGCCATGAAAGCCTTGGATTATGAATGGAAAATCATCAATCCCTATCATGTTCGGGTGCGCCGTCAAAATCTGAAAAATGGTACCTATTCCAAGATGTCTTTGCAGCTATATCAGGTGGATGCCAAAAGTTATTTGCTCGACTTCAAGTCGCTGACCAACGATGAAGTGGAACAGGGTGATGATGTTATTTTGGAAAGTCTAACACCACCACCGTTGAGTCACTCCGGGGTAATGCCACCCCAGCCCACGGGCCATCATACAATGGAATTTTTTGAAATGTGTGCTGCTCTTATTATACAGCTGGCCCGTTGAAGTGGAGGTGGGACTATTTTTCAAAAAAAAAAAAATTATTTTCATAATTTTATAAGCTATCCCAAAGTCGTACTATGTATCAGCTCAAGGCGTCGTAATGGCCTTGATATATTCTATCTATCGTAAATGTAAACGAAAACTACATGCATCAAAATAATTATTATTGTTGTTTATTTAGAAATTATTATTATTATTATTCTATTTTATATTCCAAATATATATCTTTAATCGCCCCTCACCCAAAAATTGTCTCTCTCCCCACGCTATTGGCTTTTAAAAAAGAAAATTTTCTTTGTTGGCTTGTTTTGTTGATTTTCTTGGAATTTTAATTTTTAAAATATTATTAGTGTTTTTTTTTAAATATGCAAATATTTAAAGGCAACCACATAGCCATTTTATTTTATTTTTATTTTCTTTCAAAGGCAATATCATCTAATGTATGGCATGATTTATTATTTTAATTTTTTCTCTTTGTATTAGTATTGTAAGTTTTATTTCTTCTGTTAATAAAGGTTAAGTGCTATTCAGAAAAAAAGTATTAACAAAAAATGGAATATGAATAGTTTGTTTTTATTTTGATCGGAACTAATTTCAATGAAGGGCAAGTATTTAAATGTCAAAGGTCATTAAACTCAACTCAAACTCCATAATTTTGTCTTTTTTTAAATTTTATTGAATGAAAGCAAAAAATGTAGGAAATAGCATCAAATTTTAGAATAAGTTTAGATTTGTTCGAATTGGTCAGCTTTGGCACGAATTATGGCCTTCAAACGGCCAATGACACCGTCACACGATGCCCGAATGTTGCTCTGCGGTATTTTGGCCCATTCCCGGCGAAGCACTAGCTTGAGGTGATCGACACTTTGGTATTTTTTAGTGCCAACCTTTCTTTCCAAAATACTCCAGACACAATAGTCCAACTGATTGGTATCCGGAGATTTTGGTGGCCATTGTGCGCTGGAAATGAAGCGAGTAACCGTAAGCGTTCTTGGATGGCGCCCATGCTGAGTGCATTTGTGCTGAGTCCTTTTGGAATGTCCAAGGTCTGCGGCCAAAATGTTTGCGTGCCCAAGGCTTTAATACACCCTCCAGAATATTTTCGCCATAATATTCTGCATTTATTCTGATGCCACGGTCGATTAATACGAGCGGGGAGCGACCATCGGCTGTTATGGCGGCCCACACCATCACCATGGCCGGCGCTTGAAACAACTGAAATTTATCTACATGGACATGCTGTAGAACCCATTCAAAAATATCACAATATTTGAGGTTATGTGGTATTAACTTTCATATTTATGAAGCGTTTTTGTTGTAAATTGGTATATTTGGTTCTCATTGGGTAAGCGAACTGCCTGCCAAGAATTATTAATCTAGGTTCACAGTTTGATATAGCTTCCATACAAAATTGCCTCTATTTTGGAGCTTTTTGAAGATAATTTCCATATTTATAGGTCGAAATTGCTGTAATTTTGCATTATGAATTGTCACTGGGTAAAGCATCTTCCAACTTAAATTGATCGGCATGGACCAAGTTTTTGGTGAAGAACCCATTCAAATGTATCACAATATTTGAGGTTATGTGGCATTATTTGTCGCATTTATTAACCGTTTTTGTTGTAAATTGCTATATTTGGTTTTCATTGGATAAGTGAACTGCCTGCCAATAATTATTAATCTAGGTCCACAATTTGATATAGCTCCCATACAACATTGCCTCTATTTTGGGGCTTTTTAAAGATAATTTCCATATTTATAGGTCGAAATTGCTGTAATTTTGCATTATGAGTTTTCATTGGGTAAAGCATCTTTCAGCTGAAATTTATCTGCATGGACCCAGTTTTTGTTGTAGAACACATTCAAATGTTTCGAAATATTTGAGGTTATGTGGTATTAACTTTCATATTTATGAACCGTTTTTGTTGTAAATTGGTATATTTGGTTTTCATTGGATAAGCGAACTGACTGCCAAGAATTATTAATCTAGGTCCACAGTTTGATATAGCTCCCATGCCAAAGTGCCTCAAGTTTCGAGTTTTTTGAAGACTCTCGCCATATTAATGTGTCGAAATTGCTGTAATTTTGCATTTTAAGTATTCAATGGGTAAAGCATCTTCAAGCTGAAATTTATCTGCATGGACGCAGTTTATGGTGTAGAACCCATTAAAACGTATCACAATATTTGAGGTTATGTGGCATTAATTCTCATATTTATGCACCTTTTTTTGTTGTAAATTGTTATATTGGGGTTTCATATGATATACAAACTGCTTACCAAACATTTCGGCCATAGCTTTACATTTCGGTATAACTGCCACACAAAAGGTACCTCCACCAGTTTGGAGTTTTTTGAGGATAATTGGTAGATTTATTGCCAGAAATGGCTGTAATTTTGAATTTTGATTTGTCATTTGGATAAAACATAATCCAGCTGAAAATTATCTACATGGACTCAGGCTTTGGTGTACATCGCACTCAAGGTATGGCAATATTTGAAGTTATGTGGCATTAATTCCCATATTTATGAAGCAATTTTGTTGTAATTTGGTATATTGGGGTTTCATATGATATACAAGCTGCTTGCCAAAAATGGTGAACCAATCTTTACATTTTGGTATACCTGCCACACAAAGATGCCTCCAGTTTGGAGTTTTTTGAGGATAATTGGTACATTATTTGCCAGGAATTTCTGTAATTTTGAATTTTGATTTGTCATTGGATAAAACATACTCCAGCTCAAAATTATCTACATGGACTCAGGTTTTGGTGTAAATCCCACTCCAAGGTATGACAATATTTGAGGTTATGGGGCATTAATTCTGGAATTTATGAACCGTTTTTGTTATAAATTATTTGCTAAGAATTATTAATCTAGGTCCACAGCTTGTTATATCTTCCACAGCTTGTTATATCTTCTTCTTTGGAGATTTTTTAAGATAATATCTATATTTATAGGTCGAAATTGCTGAAATTTTTATGATTGTGAGTTTTCATTGGGTAATGCATCTTTCAGCTGAAATTTATCCGCATGGACCCATTTTTTTTTTTTGTTGAACCCAAAATTATGAACCGTTTTTGTTGTAAATTAGTATATTGTGTTTTCATATGATATACAAACTGCTTGGCAAAAATGGTGAACCTAGCATTACATTTTGGTATACCTGTCACACAAAAGCGCCTCTAGTTTAGAGCTTTTAGAAAATAATTGCCACATTTATCAGTCGAATTTGCTTTAATTTTGATTTATAGCTTGTCTTTGGTTGTAGCATCTTCCAACAGAACTTTTTCTGATGTAGCCTCCACACATAGATACCTCAAATGTTTGTAGTTATATGGCAATATTTGACATATTTATGAACCATCGTTGTAGTAAATTTTTATACTGGCATCTAACAGAATGAAGGAACTGTTATTTTGTTTAGTAAAAATCCTCTATGAAATTTTTTTGTAAATATTGTTTTTATTTTTTTGTTTTTCTTATTAAACATTACAAACTTAAACTATTATTAAAAAAAAGAAACATAAAAAATATGTTATATAGAAGTTAGTTGAATTGGGTAAATTAAATTACTCTAAAGGTATCGTTTATTTTGCGGAGAAATTCATCAAAAGTTTGGTATTGTAAAATTGATAACTAATTTTATTTTTTGTTTTTAATTGATTTACTTTTGAAGGATAATTGTGCTGTTTTATATATACACAAACACATTTACAGCCCGTTAATGAAATCTCGTATTTTTGTTTTGCTCTTATACTACTACTACTATTTCGTTTCTTTTTCTTCTGCGTCTGCAGTTTTGCGATTTTTTTTCTTCAATTTATCTATTAACGATTCTATACTATTGGCATCAACTAAACCAATGAATTTATCTACCACAACACCGTTGCGAAAAGCCAAAACAGCAGGTACAGCTTTCACTTCAAATGTTTCCACCAATTCTGTGTTGTTTTCTACATCAATAATGGCTAAATCGATTTCGTTGGAATTCTCCAGAAGTTCTTCCATTTTGGGTGTAAGAATCTTGCAGGGATCACACCATTCGGCATGAAAATTCACAATGACGGGATTATCGCTGTTGATTACCTAAAAGGAGAAATAATAAAAAAATGGTGGTTAAAATATTGTAAATAATTTAGAATTTAACTGTTGGTTATGTTAAAAGTTTTCATTGGGATGTGTACTCAATTTTCTTCTACCCAAACGAATGCTGTAAAAAACTAGGTCTACCTTCTAACAAAAATCTCAGAAAAAGGTTTTACAATTTTGCACTTGTTGGAGATGTGGGGAGTTTATATTAGAATTTGGACAGTAGCCAATTTCTATTACCAGATTCAGACTCTAGAAAGGTGTCTGTAATCAAATTATAGTAAATGATTGAAATTAAGTTATACTATATCCGTTTTCCGACTACGGCATAGACAGAGACTTTGTCTGCAATTTTGCTAGTTCAGGTCTTCATAAGGCATCCATACTTAAAGGCCAAAACTATGATAACGATGTGTAGTTTCAAATCTTTTTCAACATTTTGTGGGTAATATTAGCTCGGAATTGGAAAAAACCCGATAGAACCTTCCTTCTATAAAATACTATTTAATTTCCAGATCTAAGTCCATTATATATTTATCTCACATACCTTTTTCAAGTCTCAGACATTTTATTTCATATTTGGATATGTAATTAATAACAGTCTAAGGATCACATTCCAGTCCCTCAACTATCCTGGGAGGTTCAAAGAGAAAGTTTCTCATTCATACATTTATTTATTTCCATTTCTTTAAGAAACGTTTGCATAATATCCTCCACTTTATCTACTTTTAATCTAAATTTAATTTTAGTTTGCATAATTTCTCCCTCATTATCTCAGTTCTGGGTTCATTCAAGCTGATTCATTCTAATGCTATTCCGGTATTATCCAGTTTATGGTGTGGATATACAAACAAACGTCATAACGTACACCTAATGTCTGTGTGAAGGGCACACGCAAATGAGGGGGCATACGTGAAAGAAATCACGATATATTTTATGTATTTGTTGTTGTTACTTTTAAACAACAACAAAGCTGCACATTAATGTATGCATATTGCATAATTTATTTAATTTTTTTTTGTTAACCAGAAACTTTTTTCAATCACCTGTTAGTTGACAAAGGCTGAAGCGCAAATCAATAGGTGTGTCTGGTTACCCTAAAGTTTGTAACAAATGTTACAAGTTGTTACTGGAAGTCGTCTGTTAACCCAAAAGTTCTGCAAAAGAGAGCGGTTGGAGAGAGAAATTTTGACAGTTCTTTCAGTGAGAGTTTGCAAATTCTTGCTGGAAAAATTTCTTCTTGCAATCACTTGCAACTCTTCTTCTTCTCATTCATCGACATTCAATCAGATGTTTTCTATTGTTTATTTATTTCTTTTTGTGCTTTCAATTTGAAAATATTTTTTTGGAATTAGCAAGACTAATAGATTTTGGAGAACAACTTTACAAAATGTGAAAAACGTAAATGTTAATATGCAATAAGAAAATAAACGACTATTTCCAACATTTTTATTTAAAAACTTGTAAAATTAGTATTGCTTCCTTTGTTTTAATTCTCCTTATGGGGGACAAATTGGTTTGTTTTGACAAATCAGCTGATTAGTTGCAAGCTTCTGCAGGAATACCGTCTGTTTACTTTTCGCATTTTCCTTGCAAAAGAGAATAAAACAACCTTACTCTCTCAGAAAGAAGTTACTGGACAATTCCTGCTGGAAAAGTAACCAGACACACCTAATCATTTATGAGAGATAATGAGAGAGGGAGAGAGAGAGAAAGTAATTTGAATGCCATGAAAACAAATCTCTCATCAATGTATGCAACTCTCTCTCTCCGTTTTTCCTCCCACTCCCACAAACAATGCAAACAGATCATGTACAAGGGGTTGCAAGAGATTAACAATGGATTCCATTTCTATTTCACATTCCAAGCACTTGACCTAAATATATATGACCTATTTTCGATATTTCCCATGCCATTAACACGTCTGCTTCTTCCACTTATCTATCCCCGCCACTTACCTTTTGATCAAACTCATAATGATCTTTGACGGTAAACTTTTTATTTGCTATTTGACTTTGAGATAGAAACTTTTGTGTAGCCGATACAGCTATGGGAGCCAAACGTTGACAGGCACTTTGGGCTGATGATGAGGCCTGGACACAGGCTACCAGACGAGGCATTAAGCCCTCAGAAGCTATTTTCAGCATGTTGTTTCCCCGCCTTGTTATCACTGGGACTGGTGGACTGAAATGAAGAAACAAACAGAACATTGAAAAATGGAGGTTAATAACACTTTCTTTGCTGGCTGTTATCTTGAAATGCTAGTGACCGTCGCCAGAACATGCATGGAGTTATGGTAGATGATAAGATTACATTCATACACCATAACAGCGCATAATAGTCAATGTCAATTATTAACAAAGATTAAATCACCCCAATTCTTAACTAATTTACTTTGATACAAATACAACCAATTGTTAATAATGAATTGCTTGGAAAGAAAAACGTCGTAATAGTATTTTGTGGTTGTATGAGGTGCATGAGGTAATAATGAATAACATTAAGCATTTTCCCACACTTACCTCTTTAGAATGCTCTTAAATTGTTTACTATTTAATTGCAAACAATTGTATGTCTCTTAGCGCTCTGTTTATTTTATGTTTCTCCTTTTGTTTTATTGAAAATAAATTATTTATTTAATTTTCCGTCACCGAAAAAAACTTGGGAAATAAAAAAAAAACAATCTAGTCTGAAATGTCAAATCGACATTAGGGATGTGTAAGTCGACTTCCGATTACCGAGTACTTGACTATTTATAGTCGATTTAAATTCCTGTTCAACTTATAGTCTGTTTACATGGCAGAAGAAAACAGGTGGATGCATCAAAGCTTGGGAGCATTGATATGTCAAAAAAAGTTTGTTTTTTCAAGTATAAGTAGATTTTTTTATGTTTTCATATACGACGTCATTCGGAGGTTATTATAATTCGTGTTTTCCAACAATTTCTACAAATTTAAATAATTTTTTATTCAACATTTTCAATTCCAAAATTGGTTTGACAGCAGCTGTATCGATGCGTTTACCTATTTTCTTCTACCATGTCTGTTCAGGACTACAAGAATGTAAAAGTTTTCACTACGATAACCGATTTTCCCTTTATGATATCGAAAAAAAAATTGCACAACTAGTAGATTCTTGAAGGTACTGGAACAGAGCAATTGCCTCTCGAAATGAGAGGGAACATGTTACAATAGGGAGGCAGAACAGCTTCGTAAAATTACATAAATACAGCCCTGAGGCCATGCCTGTTTCCTATAGTAAAAATGTTTGCCCTATTTCAGTTCTGTTCCAGAGCAACATTTAATCGACATTTTCAATGATAAATATCATAACACAAATATAAGATTTATTTTTGATTTTGTACACATGATTTTTATTTTCTTTGGAGTTGCACATCTTAATGTACATATGCTTAAATACATAAAAAACAATCTTAAAATAGTAATGTCACTTAATGGAAATACTAAAACTACAATTAAACAATAATTTTGCCAAACGATTACCATGAATCATCTTCCAAAGCTGTGACATTATATTGTTCTTCGATACCTCCATCGTCTCCATCCTCCACTTCAGATTCTTGTTCGTCATTTTGCAGATTGTTTTCATCTGCCGCTGCAAAGCCCATACGCCTATGTCTTTTGCCCAAATGGGACTTCATGTGTTTCTTGAGATTCGCCTTGCACTTGAAACCCTTACCGCATTGTGAACAATGAAATTGATTGACCAATGAATGTCTGGCTAAATGTTGCCTTAAACTACCCGCAAATGGAAATGATTTGCCACATTCCGGACACAGATAGGGACATTCACCGGTATGCAGATTCATGTGATCGTTGAGCGTTTGTACAGTGGTAAATTTTTTGTGACACACTTTGCATTTTATATCACGATGAACGCCCATATGACGTTCCAAATGATCGGGCAAGCCAAAGGTGCGATCACAGTGTTCACAGGCATATGTGATGTTGGGATGCACTCGCTTTATGTGTTCACTTAAGGTTTTCTTCGAGATAAACTCCCGATTACACTCCAGGCAGGTGAAATTCTTCTCTGTGGTGGTATAATGCCTTTTACAATGGGCCGACAATGAATTACGATTACCAAACACCATGGCACACTCGGGACATTTATAAACGGTTGGAGTTGGGGGTGTGGTGGTCGTCGTCTCATTGTCTGCATTTTCATGAAGTTTCATATGATTGCGATAGTTTTGTTTGGAAACAAAACGATGTTTACATATTTCACAGCCATATTTTTTAAACACTGAATGTACAATACTGTGGCGTTGCAGGCGATATATTTCACAGAATTGTTTGCCACACTCCTCACATGTATACAGGCCATCTTCGGGTTTAATTCTATAAGGGGGGAAATTGGATTAGAACTTAGTTTTGCTACAAATCCATAACTTACTTTGAATCCGACAAGTCCATTTCATTTTCAGCAAGGACATACCAATTATTGATATCTTTCATGTCATAGCTATGCCGATTCTTTAAATGTTCACGCATGCGTATAATGCGATCATAGATTTTGCCACAGTCCCCACATTTAAAACGTTTGCGGCCGCTAAAATCATTTTTTATAATATTATAAACATTTTATGATATACTTGAAATTTTACCCAATCTTAATAATAGACAAGGGATTTGGATCAGCATTTGTATCTTTGGTTTCTTTAGAATTTTCGCCAACCTGAACGTCTGGCTCATTTTCTTCTTTGATCTGGATTATCTTGCTCATGGCCTTTTCATATTCTTTTTCTTCACAGCGTCTCTCTTGCATTTCTTTATCTTTCCTAGAGGAAATTTGTTTAAAAATACGTTTTAAGCCAATAAAATATTTGTAACCCACCTCATTTTTTCCCGTTTCATAACATTCCCACTGCCGTCGACAATTTCCACCCATCTTTTGATATCATCAATGGAATATCTATGCCTCCTTTCCAAATGATCTTCAATGCGTGATACCCGATCATATTGTTTTCCACACACGGCACAGGTGTAACGTTTTTTGCGACTGAAAAGTAAGATTTTTGAAAATTGGGTTTTTTATGTTTGACCCTCTTTCCTCCCACAACTTACTCAACTTGAATTATTTTAAGCGGCAATGTGGACTCACAGTCCATAATAGTGTTTTCATTCTCATCGATGTCTTCTGGTGTGATCTCATTGTCATCATCATCAATGTTTTCCGACGAGCTGTCCATTTCATCAAGTTTCTTCATTGAAGCTTCAAGTAATTCCTCTTCTTGATGGAGTTCATTGTCTTCTTCGCTAAGATAGAGAGATAGAGATATATAAAATGTATGGCTGCTGGGTAATTGAGGAAAATAGAGTATAAGAGCTTCTGGGCTTAGACAATTGAAGACTCCAACACATCTAAATGAGAAAAAGAAGCCTTGGTCTTTTTATACCCTACACCACAAGGTGGTCAGGTTATTATGTCTTTGTGCATTTGTTTGTAACAGGCAAAAGGAAACGAGATAGACCCATAGTTAATTTTGATGATCTGCATAGAATCACATTCTGAGTCGATTTATGCATGTCCGTCCGCCCGTCCGTCTGTCCATGTATTTTTGTAAACAAAGTACAGTTCACATTTATTGCCCTATCCAGATGAAATTTTGCATAAATCATTTGTTTGGCCCAAGGACAAACCCTATTGAAATTGGAGATAATTGGTAAAAATTTAGATATAGCTCCCATATATATCTTCGTCCGATTTGCCTTTTATTGTGCACCAAACGTGTAATATAAGCCCGAATAGTATGGAATTTTGCACATACAACCAAATTAGGCCTGAAAATAAGTATGCCAAATTTGATCGAAATCGGTTCAAATATAGCTATAGCTCCCATATATATTGTTCATCCGATTTGTTATTTTTGTGCTCCGCAGCCGTAATATGCACTCCGTAACAACAATATTTGGGGAAATATATCAAATATAGCTTAGAAATACATTCGCTTAATTTTATTGAGATCGGTTCAGATTTGGGTATGTCTCCCATATATAACTTCATCCGATCTACCTTTTATTGTGTACCAAACGTCTAATATTTGCCCAAATGGTATGAAATTTGGCACTTACGACCGAATTGAGTCTAGAAGCTAATATGTTAAATTTGGTGAAGATGGGTTCAGATATAGCTATAGCTCCCATATATAATGTTCATCCGATTTGTTATATTTGTTACCCACAGCCGTAATATGCACTCCGTAACAACGATATTCAGGGAAATATATCAAATACAGCTCAGAAATATCTTTGCCAAATTTTATCGAGATCGGTTCCGATTTGGATATAGCTCCCATATATATTTTTATCCGATTTCAAATTAATTGTGCACCAAATGGGCAATACAAGTCCGAATTTAAAAGATACAAATGCTTTTGGCATATTTAGTCCTTTGAACTTAAATTTATAATTATAATCATAGCGTGTATGATTAAATTCTCCCATAAAACCTTTTAATTGTTATGCGGGGCTCTACTAAATTAGCAAAGTGGTGTAGGGTATCATAAAGCCCGACTTTAAGACTTTCTTCACTGGTTTTGGTAATAGAAATGTTGAAAGCACTTGTCCGCGTCATCAATATTTTCCCGTTCAAGTTTAAATGAATTCCTCTTCTTGGATATTTTATTGTCGTATTCGCTAAGATATAAGACCTCATATTGGCCTATATTACTAGGGAAAATAGAGCAAAGAAAGTCTAAGAACTATTGAAGACATCTATCTCTATAAAGACCAAGACATCTATATGCGAAAAGGATGTCTACGTCTTTCTTTGGTAATATAACCCTTTTCGGTGTCTTGGAAAAAGAATGACCCTAGGTCTTCTATAGACCATGAAGGCACATGGGTTTTGGCGATAGTCTATTCATCTTTACATACCCCAGTATGGTCTCCGTACACTCATCTTCCTCCTCCTGCTCCTCACGGATTTCTTCCGTTTCCTCTTCGACATGTACCTCCACCTCCTCCCGCTCCTCTTCTTTGGCCTCCACATCCTCATCTGTACAATTCAAGTTATAAACTTCAATTTTCGTTTCCTCCATACTTTCATCCTCCATGGTGAGATCTTCTTTCGCATTTACCACCAACACTTCTTCGGGTGGCGCCAAAATTTGCTGGCGGAACTCTTGATCGATGGCAATGCATTGCTGTTGAAATTGATAGCCAACCAGAAGATTATTGACACACGTCTCACAAATCAATGTGGAGAACTCAATATCATCCGTTGTAATGTTGATTTGCGGCACAATGGCATCAATCATTTCCATAATCGAGTGATTCTCATCCACATAGTCATAGATTTGATAGTAGCGACTATCCTCCGTCATGCATGTGCGGCATGATCGTATTAGAGCCGGTCCATTGCTCAGCTCATCGTTTATATCCATCGAAAAGTATTTTCGTTTTAAAATACTACTTAATTCGCTTAATTCTTGAGGAAAAGCCAGGGTAACGCAACAAATCCGCTGCTTGTCCGTCTGTTGTTTTGTTTGCTAAAAAATTACTCTATCTTTTTCTTGTCTTATGATGTTGTTGTTGTTGGTGTGCCTGTTGTCGATTGGATGGAGGATGTTGACTTGCCTGTTTTCCTGGGCCCTTTGTCCAGCCAATGTCCAATGTGTCCAATTCCACCAATTCACTGAAGCTCTGTTCGCTTTGCTTGTGAGGAGCGCGTGGGAAACAAAAATGAAAGACGTCCCCAACGAAACGAATAAGAAAGCCCAAAGGAATGCCTGATAAAAAAGAACGAGAAAGCAAAATCCCCTCCGAGGGACCACTGTTGTTTACGAATGAGACATGAGGAAATCGAACCGCTGGACACATTCATTAAATGGACCGCGGGAGTAAGTTCCTTCAACTGGAGCAATATATCGGCCGGCTTTAGGTCATCATTTTGACGCCGTTAAGAATATTAAACTGAGTAATTTTCGATCAAGGGAACACTTATGTTTTTCGTTAATTTTTTCTTTATTCGTGTGATTTTTTCGCCTTACGTGAGAGAGTGTCGATGCAACAAATCCGTGTCTTCTTCTCGTTTGCAGTAGCAGCGAACAGTAGCAGCAGCTAAGCCAGTAAATGTCACAAAGTACTGCGTAAACGTTATTCGTGGCGGCTAGGGAGTTTGCACTTGCAACAGTCATTTTCGATCTAGGGAACACTTATGTTTTTCGGCATTTCTATTGTGATTCCTCACATTTATTCTGATTTCTTTCAGTATTGTCTTTCGTCCTAAAGTTGCCATATCGCAGTGTTCTTTGTTCGTTTCATTTGTTTTCTTTCCTCGGAAGCGTCGTTGGTTGTTAAATTGCTAATAAATTAATATTTTAGTGTATAATTCGCTATGAAAAAGTATGAAATAAATGTGTATGTGTCATTGTTGTGATTGTGCACGCTCGAAAGCAGAATAAAACATGAATGAGATTAATATTTAGCCTTCAATTGAGGTTTTCTTTTGAGGCTTTCTGTTTGGTGTGTTGTGCATGCGAAATATACAAAGGGTGTCCCAACATTAGAACGCAATTTTTAAATTTTAAATAAATAAAATAAAATAAAAAAAACACAGATATTAAGAAAAATCGTGAAGCCTAATTACATTGTAAAGAATGACAGAGTAAGGTTAGTAAGATGGCCGCTGTGGCTGGCACACAGGCGGTCTTGGCTTAACTCTAGTTTAGTAAAAACTCTTCAATTTTTTCGAAAATTTTTTCAGTGGTAGGTATTTTAACCATGATCCCGGGAAACTATTTTTATCTTGGGGGACGGACTGGGACCCCAGATTTTTGACCCGAAAGTCCGGGTTCGAGACCCCTACTAGACCCGGATCCACTTACCTGATATAGACAATATGGGTATCGTTGGAAAGCTTATGAAAATACCTATCCAACAAGTGGTCACATGATGGGGTTCGGAAGTCATAGTCAAATTATCGATTTTTTGGACCCGGATTTTTTATAAAACCCCCAAAAAGTCAAAAAAAGGATCCATTATGGGGGACAACAAAATTGATGCCAAATTATAGCTGACACTTCTACCTTTCCAAAAAGGTTCAATTTGTGCTAATACCTTTACTGAGTCCAGAGATATGGGTCTTTCCATCCGCATAACCCGATTCTAACCAGTTCATTAAAACTATGTTTTCAATAAAAAAGGTATATTTTGCGTAAGAATGAAATTCAGAAATCTTTGGTTCGCGTTAGCCGGTGTAGGACATACCCAGAGGAGAAAATCTGAAGCCCCGGCCGAAGGCCGGCTGCTTACAAAAGGTATCCAATTTAGAAAACTTTGGTTCGCGTTAGCCGGTGTGGGACATACCCAGAGGAGAAAATCTCAAGCCCCGGCCGAAGGCCGGCTATTTACAAAAAGTGTCAAATTTAGAAAACTTTGGTTCGCGTTAGCCGGTGTGGGACATACCCAGAGGAGAAAATCTCAAGCTCCGGCCGAAGGCCGGCTATATACAAAAAGGGTCAAATTTAGAAAACTTTGGTTCGCGTTAGCCGGTTTAGGACATACCCAGAGGAGAAAATCTCAAGCCCCGGCCGAAGGCCGGCTACTTACAAAAGGTATCCAATTTAGAAAACTTTGGTTCGCGTTAGCCGGTGTAGGACATACCCAGAGGAGAAAATATCAAGCCCCGGCCGAAGGCCGGCTATTTACAAAGAGTGCCGAAATTATGAACCTTTTGTTCGCGTTAGCCGGGGTCGGACATACCCATAGGTGAAAATCTCAAGCCCCGGCCGAAGGCCGGCTATTTACTTTTTTGACTTTTTGGGGGTTTCATAAAAAATCCGGGTCCAAAAAATCGATAATTTGACTATAACTTCCGAACCATGACAACTTACCCCTTCATTTGACCCCTTTGGATAGGTATTTCCATAAGCTTTCAATCGATACCTATATTGTCTATATCGGTTAAGTGGATCCGGGTCCAGGCGGGGTCTTGATCCCGGACTTTTGGGTCAAAAATCTGGGGTCCCGGGTCCGTCCCCCAAGAAAAATAGTTTCCCGGGATCAGGGTAAAAATACCTACCTCTGGAAAAAATTTCGAAAAAATCTAAGAGTTTTTACTAAACTAGAGTTGTTCCGCGGTCTTTTAATGAAATTTTCAATGACCCTTTTGCATAAATGCTGCAATATTTCATTAATGCAACGTCCAATGTCCTCTTTTAAGCCTTGAGTCCTCCTCGGCTTATTCATAGAAACCATCGACGTCAAAAAACCTAAAGAAAAAGCCTAAAGGCATCTAGGCACGATCCCACGATCTGGTCTCTAAAACGCAAAATTACACGAACGGGAAATTATCGATGCTGCAGTTGAATTCTTTCTCTGGCTAGGCTATATGGCATGTGGCACCGTCTTGTTGAAAACACATGCCCTCCACATTTATTTCTTCAATTCTAGGCAAGAAAAAAACTGGTTACCATTTCCGATTTCACGATTGCGTTCTGATTGGGAAACCCTTTACATTTTAATCATTGGGAAAAGTTCTCCCACCATTTTTTACACTTGTGTTCATTACTTCAAGCCTGTAGATCAAGCCAAGGAAAGGAATTCGATGCCGTACTAGCTGCTGAGGAATTCAGTTGAAAGAGTGGCCAAGGAAGAAAAAATCCTTTAGTATTCATTCATTTTCATTCAGGTAAGGCACATGCAATACATAATAAAATGCATGAATAACTAGAATCTTCTTCTCCATAGCTAGCTCTTAACGATTGCCTGGACTATTGTGGCTCAAGGTTTTATAAAAACAAAAACATTAATTCAATGTGAAATCGGTAGTGGTGGATGGAAACAAAGTATCATCCCAACATGTCCTTAGATTTAACAACCTTGTGTCGCACCTGCATGGATGGCGACAGCAAGTACTATCAACTTTTGGATTATGTCGATGAGCATACCATTTTAGAAATGTTACATGAAATTGTGCCACAAATTCACATCGACCACGAGGAGGAAACTGATTTGTCGACAATTATTTGTGAAAATTGTGTCGATAAACTGGTGACAAGTTATAAATTCCAACAGATGTGTGTTGACACCGACCATCAGTTACGTCAATTAATTGTGGCCTCAACGGAACTTATTGTGGACACTAGAGACAATGAATGGCATAGCGATGTGGTGGAACATAAGGTGGATGATGTGGTGGATGAAATGAAAATAGAATTATACGATTTAGATGAGAATTTTGCCGATGTAAATTATGTAAAGGATGTTGCAGGGTAAGGTATTAAGTAGACCATAGGAAATGGTTATGGATTTCTTTTCTTTTTTTTTAGTAAAAATTACATGGATGCCGCAGAAGAACCCGTAGCGGAAGAGCTTATTGTAGAAACCGATGGGGAGTCTTTGGACTTTGAGTAAGATTTATTTGAAATAATACCTTTGAAAAATAATTAAATACTCTACTCATTTCAGCCAAGACAATGAATATGTTGGACAAAGTAAATTGGAGGGAAAAGAACCCTTTAAAGTAGTTAAACAAATGTAAGTTTCTTGTGAGTTCAGATATATGTTTATTTTTGGTTATATTTTAAGATAGGTAAATTAATTGGTAAAAAATATAAGATATACTTAACTGGTAGGAAAGAGACTTATCGTATAATATTGAGATAAATCTCAACGCATTTGAAAGAAATACTCCATGAAAATTGCCTGAAACCACATTCGGCATTAGTTTATTGTCATTGGTAAAGGATTCAGAAAAATGTTTCTTCTTAACCCCCTCGTCATCTCTAAAACGCGGTACTTTTTCAAAAGCCCTGTATTGTCTTGACACAATTGCTAGTCCCTTAAATCTTATTTTTTTTTTGCCTTTTCTATTTCAGGTCTAGAAAAAAATATATCTGCTCGTATTGTGGAAAATTCTTTGATCGAATTACCCGTATCGAACATCATTTGTACATTAAACATAAATACAATTTATCGGATCTGAGGACGTATGTACAGGAATTGGTAAACAAGGATGATGATGATGCCCCATTGAGTTGTGAGGAGAGTTTGATAGTAAAGTAAGATATTCTATAAAGACTCTTTTTTGTATCCAAAAACTCAAATATTTTCCTCCTTTTCAGTCCTAAACATTTTCCGAGTGAAGAATTAAAAGAGCAGAGTCATGTCTTTGAAAGTTTTGGTGAATCAAATAAACAAAAGAAAATACAAATCCAAAAAGAAAATACAAATCCGAGAACAAATTTTGATGAAGAAACTGGACAAGAAATTATGGATTATTTCGAGGAAATCATAGAAGATAATGAAGGTGAAAGTATGACCTATTTGGATAACGAAGATGAAAGTAAGAGCAATTTCGATAATGAAGGCGAAAGCAATACCTATTTGGAAATTGATCAATGTCCTGATATGGGGTAGGGAAATAGTAATAAAATCAAAATCTTTATATTTTGGAATTAAAACATGTGTATTCAAATTTAATTTTAGTGATACGAACTCTGCCATTTTTAATGACAAAGGCGAGTCAGTTGACTATATGGACAACAATTTTAATGAGATTGAAAGGTATTTGTTATCACATTTTCCCTGGAAGTATCTTCTTATTTAGTTTTGTCTTTTTTAGACCAAAACCCCGTGGCGGTGGCCATTATCCCTGTGAAGTTTGTGGCAAAGTTTTCAACAACCCCTCACGTTTACGACGTCATAGTCCTGTCCACTCATTGGACAAACCGTATGCCTGTGAAATATGTAAACATCGTTTCACCTCCCTATATTATTTGAAAATACACAAGGAGTCACACAACAAAGATCACAACAATGAATCTGCTGCTCCAGCCGATGGTTATAAATGCCCAGAATGCCCAAAACGTTTTCAAAATCAACCTGCCTTGGCCTCGCATCGTCAGGTGCATAGCCGCAAGTTGTTGGCACGTAATGTTATTTGTGACATTTGCCAAAAGGGATTTTTGACCACCAAAACATTGGTGGATCACATCAAAGCAAGACATCCAAATGCCAAAAAATACCAGTGTGATCAATGTGATAAGAAATTCCTCTTGGAGGAGCGTTTAATGAGGCATATGGCAACGCACAAG